CCCAATGGGAACAGTTGAGAAAAACCCTAATTTAGACAGCGCTGCAGGACTTCTTATTCGTTTCCCCAATATCCGGCCACACCCTCTTTATTACCCAGCGCTGGACAAGGTATTCAATTTAAGTGTAAAAAAAATGAAACAATTTTTTTTTTCTGTAATCAAAAATGATCTTTATCTTTGTCCAGATCAGTGAGGTTGAAACAAATGGTGATATAGCTCATGTCACCAAAGAAGAGGTAAGAAATAAAATTATTAGTCATTCTAGAACAATAATTCACTGATGGCTTTTGTTTTTCATTCACTGCTGTGTTTCATGGCCTTTGTAGCACATGAAACTGAAGGAGATCATGGACAACAAAAACTACACAGAGTTCTTTGAGGACGAGAAGGAACTGCTGTGGAAGCTCCGTGCCGAGGTTCGCAACCATTATCCAGAGAGTTTGTCCAAGCTGCTCCAAATCACCAAGTGGAATAAACGAGAAGATGTAGTTCAGGTAGAGGTCGAAACACAACGCTTTTTATTTATATAATTTTATTTTATTGCAAAACTATTATTAGCCTTTAATAGTTGAAACCATGTGATATTTTCTCCAGAATCCAGTTGTGGGCCAGATTACATGGTTTGGAAGGCCAGATTCGGCCCGCAGACCACCTGTTGATAATCACTACTGTAGAATTGAATGAATGAACAATGAATGTTTGTGTTTTGGCACTTCTGCCATGTTCCTTAACAGGCTGAAATATTTATTTATCGCAATGTTTAGATGGAAATGCAGCCTCCAACATTAACTGAGTGCTTCTGCAAAGTACTCAATGTATCAAAGCTGTAATTGTATGTATTGATGTCAGATGGTGAGTCTGCTGAGGAACTGGCCAGACCTCCCTGCCATCCAGGCACTAGAACTCCTGGACTACAGTTTTCCTGAGCCTGCCGTTCGTTACTTCACTATCAGATGCCTCCGAATGCTCAGGTATAGCTGCATTTTGTTGTGCATCCATTCAATTTATAGTTTGTCAACGCTTCATAAAATGTTGACGTTTAATTTTGTTGTGGCAGTGACGATGAGCTGCTGCAGTATCTAATTCAACTGGTCCAGGTCTTGAAGTACGAGTCCTACCTGGACTGTGACCTCACCACTTTCCTACTTGAGAGAGCGCTGTCTAACAAGAGGATAGGACACTTTCTGTTTTGGCATCTGAAGTGAGCTGCAGTCCAATACAGAACCCCAGATCGTGGTGGTTATATCCAACCTTTTATTTAACTCCAGTATTTGTGTGGATTTCAGGTCAGAGATGCATGTGCCATCTGTGACTCTGCGGTTTGGCCTAATTTTGGAAGCCTACTGCAGGGGAAACATCCACCACATAAAACTCTTGTCCAAACAGGTAATTTTATGGCCTTTGTAGACAGAGCTAATGCTAAAGAAAGCGTGTGTTTGTTTTGAACCTAACCTCAGCTTCTGCTTCACAGAACGAGGCTCTGGGTAAAATGAAGGCCCTGAGTGACTTTGTCAAATCAGGTTCTCAGAAGTTGACAGCAGAGGACCTGAAGATGTGTATCAGACAAGAGTCCTACCTGGAGGCTCTGTCCGACATTCTGTCACCACTCAACCCCAGCATCATCCTGACTGAGATCTGGTTAGAATTCCAGCTACAATAACCTCTGTAGTTGATTTTATTAGCCTTTATTTGTGGATTTTTATTATTGACAAACACAATAAGAGTAGGACTTTACTTTGACGTTTTACTGCAGAATCTACAAGTAATTTTTTGGTATTTACACTACAAATACTGTATTTAGTTGACTTTTTCCCTTAAGCCCAAAATCTCAGATTTCTTTTTATAAAATGTGTTTTTGTACACTTGTAGTGCAGACAAGTGCAGATTCATGGACTCCAAAATGAAGCCTCTGTGGTTGATGTACAAGAACAACTTATCTCAAGGAGACATGGTGGGAATCATCTTCAAGAATGGAGATGGTGAGGCACCAAACCATGACTTCATAAACAATAACCACAGGAAGTCAGCATCAGTGGTTTCAAAAGAGTCTCACTGTATTAGTCTTCTATTTATGTATGTCTACAAACGTGGCGTTGCATGACTCCCACAGCCCAAATCCCATTCTGTCACTGTTAATTCATTTTGTTTGCTACAGACAGCTCCTTTACCAAAATGAAGCTGACTTCAGCACAGATATCTGATGAATTAAGCACTTCTGCCTTCTGAGGTGTTTAACTTATTGACTAATAATCATGGCCGTTTTTCAAATTTGATTTAATAATGTGCCAACAGGCGTCACATTATTCCTCAAAGAAACAGGTTGCCATTTAAAAGAAGCTAACAGAAAATGTGTCTCACAAACACTGGGTATACCAGTTTTGTATACTTGTTTATAGATTTTGTATACGGCAGTGAAGCTGAAAGATTCAGGCCAAGGGACAGCCCCCTTTTTAAATATGAGATAGGTTGAAAGTGAAACAGTGTAGATGGGGATGTAAACAGGAAATTCAAATTTTGACACAACTTTTTACTTTTAAAGTCCTTTTTGATCCATCACCTGTAGATCTGCGACAAGACATGTTGACCCTCCAGATGATCCAGCTCATGGAGACATTGTGGAAGAAAGAAGGTCTTGACCTCAGGTACCGCCAGAGCAGTGCTTCAGATGACGGTTGTACACGAAACATTATTTACCAGCAGACATACAGTAACTGCCAGTTTTACTCCACATTGACAGGATGATCCCATACGGCTGCCTGTCTACTGGAAACAAGATGGGGCTCATTGAAGTGGTGAAGAACTCTGACACCATTGCTAATATTCAGCGGAACAACAGCAACAGTGCCGCCACTGCTGCCTTCAACAAGGACGCTCTGCTCAACTGGCTCAAGTCTAAGAATCCTGAGTGAGTGTGATGAGCTGCAGTCACACAGAGTTCCCCTTCCCCTGAAAGCTGTTTATTGTCAGTACTGTTCAACTGTTTATCAGAGAAAACGGGAGAGTCAGGATGATAGATACTGACATGTTCTGTTAGCATCACATTTATTAAATTCACCTTTAGGATTATTATAATTTATCTGAGTTTATTCCACCATATAACTATCTTTTGGCTGGCCAAAATAATGGTAAATATAGCAGTTGCAAAAGCTTATACTGAGCTGTGTTAATAAACTATAATGATTGGCCTAACAGAAAGATGAAGTAGGAATGATTGTGTAGCAGGTTAGGGTGATAAAGGAGATTAAAAAAGATGGCCAGTAGACACAGGAGTGAACGTTTTCACTACATTGTTTTACACAAAGTAAATAAGTACGATTAAATACGTTGTGATTTTTGCATTTTGAGAAGCAGTAGTAGAACAAGCACAGAAGAACAAAGAATGTCAAATCAGCAGTGTCTTTTCTGCATCCAGTGCAGGATGTTATTGGGTGCCAGGAGAGGAAACTGTGACCAGGATGTACAAGATTAGATGAGCAGTTGAGCTGAGGACAGATAGAGGACATATTGGATACATTTATGTCAAAGACGTAGCTGCCAGTCAGGAGGAAGAAAAGACACCAAGATTTGTGGATGTAATGAAGATGTGAAAAAATTGGGGTATTAAAGTGGAGGATTGAACGTAGATGGAGGTAGATGAGATGTTAACGGAATCTGACAACAAACTGTTTTTTTATTCTGAACAAACAAAGACCACTGTAGTGAAAGCTTTGTCCTGTTTTTAATAAGAGCATTTATGGTTCTTGTATACATGAGGGCCGAGTCGTTCACATCCAATAATTACTGTTCACAGCGCTGTGACAGTATAACAATCCAAAACCGAGTGCTTGGCCGAGTGCAGCTTTAGTGACATTAACTGAGAGTAGATTTCTGTTTGGTGCCAGACAGTCTGAAGGTCTCATCTCTCTCAAGGTTTTGAAGTGCTCCTTGGAGAAGGAGATTGCGTTCGATTTAATGAATAAGCCTTTGTACAGTGCGTCACGTTGGCAGAACCGGCCCAGCTGACTGCACAACAGCACCGGAAGGTAATTAACTTGAAATGCCGCAGCGTAGAAAACACGGTGAACCCTGTACACATCCAGACCATGAAAGGACACGACGGTCAAACATTAACCAGGCACAGACACTCCTCTGTGAATAATTAATATGGTAGTAACGGAAAAACTAGCACATGACGGACATTGAAGTATGTGTAGAAATGTCAACTGACCTTGTCACTCTGATGATTTTTTATTACCAGAGACAAACTTGATCAAGCAATAGAAGAGTTCACGCTGTCCTGTGCTGGCTACTGTGTAGCTACTTATGTGTTGGGCATCGGAGATCGGCACAACGACAACATCATGATCAGGGAGACAGGACAGGTGAGGGCCACCGGTGTTCCTGTTTTACATCACACTAAGTCATTACTGTTCACTCTGCCAATGTACAGCACAGGTCTGCAAACACTTAAAGACAGGATTATTGTCAGAGTAGTGTACTACAGTACAGTGTACTACTTGACATAAAGAAACAACATTGTGTCACAAAATCAAAAAACACCCAAGTTCAAGTAAAAGTTTTGTTTCAATATAAGTTTTCCTGCAATTTTTTTAAAATGTTTTTATGAGATTATGTTTGTTGTTAGGTTTTGTTTCAGGCCAATTGGTATCCTTTACTTTGGGCTTCTGGAAATAGTTATTTTTCTTCTACCGAGCCGCTGCAGAATTTAGTTTTTAGTTTGACTCCAAAAACATCAGTTCCTATAGTGAATAACAAAATTGACTAGTGTTTTTTAGAGATTTGACCATTTTGTTTCTGTATGGAAAAAAAAAACATCCAAAAATGCTAATATGCTCTGTAAATAAATGCATTTTAGATGCTACTAATTTTGCCTTTTAAATGTACAATTTTATATCTAAATGGTCATTATGAACCTGCTCATTTCAATCATACAGTGATTGTCATTGTAATGTAGATATCTTTCTGATGAGTGTGTCAATTATTGCATTTAAAAGGCCAACAACTCTCTGACTAATTCCATATGATAAGAAAGACAATATTCCTGATAGCACCTGATGCTGACTTTAAATCACTATTGTGTCAGACTGGAAATTACTCAGGACTACTCAGCAGTTAGGAACTGTGTGCTCAGTCATTCAGAGCAAAGTAAAGAGTCTGTTTGACCTTTGTCCTTCAGCTGTTTCACATTGACTTTGGACATTTCCTGGGCAACTTTAAACGGAAGCTTGGGATCAACAGGGAGCGTGTGCCTTTCATCCTGACTTATGACTTTGTCCATGTGATCCAGGAGGGCCGGACAAACAACAGCGAGAAGTTTGAGAGGTACAATGTTGTGGCATTTTGATGACATGTGGTTATTTAAATCCTGTTTATAAGTGATGGACATCACCACTAGTTTCAAGACCATTGTTAAGCTACAAGCTGCACAAATTCACTTTTGGCATTTAACCTGAAGTCAAGTTTAGATTCATTCCATTGGCCAGTCACGTTTCAAGTTTTGTGTTGTTTACATTTTATAATTGCATGGTGTCATACTAGTGAAGGAAGCAGTAGAAGATGCAATATAATATAGTACATTTAAAAGTAAAGAATGTATTCTAACTCATTCTAGTAGATAAACATATACATCCTAATGATGTTTTTTCACTAATGTGGCCCTCAGAGTTAAGTCTTAAGTTTATTTTCGAAGACTGACTGTTCCTCCATGTCATCAGATTCAGGGAGTACTGTGAGCGAGCCTACAAGATCCTATGTAGGAACGGCACACTGTTTGTGAACCTCTTTGCTATGATGAAAGCAGCAGGACTGCCTGAGCTCACCTCCTTTAAAGACATCCAGTATCTGAAGGTACGCAGAACAGCAGCAACAACATCACAGCTGTGTGTGTTTCTGCTGCCACTGAAGATTATCAAACTAACTCACTTACACTTTCCTTCCTCTTAATTCCATCAGGATTCTTTAGCTCTGGGCAAAACAGAGGAAGAGGCTCTGAAGAATTTCAAAGTAAAGTTTAATGAAGCACTGAGAGAAAGCTGGAAGACCAAGGTCAACTGGATGATGCACTCTTTGGCCAAAGATAATAGACCGTGAAAACCACTCATCGCCTGAGGACCAGCCACTGAGTTTTGAGAAAATACCTATGGAGATAAAAGGGAAGAAATGTGAAACTTTACTCATAGACATTCAGCATTTGTTTACATCACTCTGATCGAATTGTGCTGTAAATAGACTCAGTGGCGACCTCTACTGTAAAGAGTATGGAGCATCAACTCACCGCAGGTATTTTCACAGTGGAATGCCTTTGCTCTGGAGGCCTTACATGAAGACAGACTGTGATATTGATTTGCTATTTTATTGAAAATGTTACTTGAAACCATCTGCTAATGCAAAGATATCACAGTCACAGGAGCAGAGGGAAAACCCGGATGTTAATCTCACTGACTGGTTGTCGGAATGGAGAGCAAAAAGAGATGATAGTAATAATAATAATTATGATTCAGGAATTTATCTGTCAGTCACAGAGAACAATGACATGCTGGGAGTTTTACCTCGTCTCTTTGATACAATGTGAAGGCCATGTTGTTTTCTCTTTAATTTAAATCTTCTTTATGCAATTGTTCTGTTTTTTTGTTTTGTATTTATTTTAATTTGGTACATTTAAAGTACCTGTACAAAGACACAAAGAATATTTCAAAAATATATGTTGTCTTCTACTGCTGTGTAACATGTTGCCTTGGAGTATAGTGTGTTGCCTTTAATTACCAGTAGACATGGATTAGATTAAAATTTATTTCTTAGGCTACTGATTAAAAAAAAAAAAAAACAACGAAAATATCCTATGTTTGAGGCCACCCAGCAGACCTACAAAATGTGATCATTTGGGTTTTTTCTTGTAAAATAGAAAAAATCTTGTTTAAATTATGTTTGTCTTCTATCAGCACTAAGTGAGTGCAACTAAGACAACAGACTGGAAGCAAAGGGAAATCATTTAATTTGATTTTGTATGAAGGAACCACTTCGACAAAACTGCAGTTTTGATTGTGCACAGGGCCCAGCTTTTTTCAGTGTAAACGCAAAACAAATGCTTTTTGCTGCTGTTGTAATGTTAATCCTTTAGGTTTAGTCACATTTAAAAGAAATGTTACTTTACTTTTCATTTTATTATCATTAAGCTCATTTTAGAGATAATTTATATTTGCTTTTGACCTGATAAAGCCATAGATGTACCACAGAAGCCCAGCTGGGCATTTTAAACCTAAGTTTTACAAAGGTTAGCTATTTAAAATGATCTAATTTATTGTTAATTTATTGTTATGAGATGAGATTTCACACTTACTCCAACCCTGTTTTCTTAATGATGTTGTCAGCAGATCCTCCCTATTCTTAGGTGTAGATGTTAATACAGAAGCTGTGTCAGGTGAGTGAAACTCTGGACACCAGCTTAGTACAATGCCAAATAAACATGTCAACACGTGAAAGCTATTGACAATGAGTTCCATTTCTTTCAAAATGTGTTCCTTTTCATATGAAGCCCAGGAAGGTGACAATCTGAGCCACAGTGGTTTTGTACTGCCTTTCATGATGCAGTATGTTTGCTTGTGTGTGTAAATGTGTCTGCTTTTGTAAGAATTTGTTTTCTTATTTTTATTCATGTTTTGTAGTTTCCACCGTAATTTCGGACTGATGTGTGCAGCTCATGAAGAGAATTTGGTGTTTTTGGTGTGAAACAGGAAAATTGCAAAACTTTTTTTGCTCCTTCCAGGAGGACTGTAAGTCCAATTAAGATTGCATTATTCGGTTGACTTTACATGCCATTTACCCAGCTCTCTGTCCTGCTGATCAGGATCACTTGAATGTAAAATAATGCCTTTTTTAACAGTTAAAACAAACATGATTGTTTTTATTTATGTTCTGTACACTGGACAGCAGCATTAGGTGTGGATTAAACACCTTAAAATAAAGGAGAAATTCACTGTGGAATACTGTAGACTTTACATTTGAGTCACCACTTCAGACTTAGTTACATGCTTCAGGCCTGAAGGAGTGGAGGAAAGCAGTCAATAGTGTACATTTGCAAATTGTAACATAAAGTGCTTTTGCCTTTTAATTGTTTTATTGAATGTAATGCTTTGTTTATTCTTCAAGGCGCTGGCCTAACTTAATTATGTGCAGCTAAAACAAACATTTGTCTCTTTTATATTCATGTATTCTTCTTTGCTTCTAATGCTGCTGGAGAGATGTATTCAATAAACAATTTGCAACAACATGCATTAGACGTTTTATCTTTTTGAATTTTTTTTTTTTTGAAAATTCTGATATAAATTAAGGTTGTTTATTGCCACTCTGTATTCTTGTAAAATTTTCTGAACCAATAGGAGCAATATACTGTATACTTCATCTGTGTGACAAACAAGTCTCATAATACCTATTATACAAAGACAGTTGTTTTGTACTTAATACATTTTTTAGAATACAGTTCGTTTTCATGCCTTGCAGTAATGTTCTCAGACTAGGAAGAGCCCCAGGTGATATTTTCCTCCTGATTTTTTAACATTTAGAAACTTTAGACGCCCGTGTAATATCGGAAAGTGTTGACTGTGCCGCGGGAGCCCTCTGTGGCTGACAGCGGTACTGCTTCTCCAGCAGCTCTCCGGCTGCATTGGTTGAGTCGTGGCTGTGCAGACTGGAGGGATGTGACCCCGGAACAGGACGCCCTCCAACAAAAACACTCTATTCAAACACAGCACGGAAGAACGAAAAGCTGGACCAGGAGGGGTAAGTCCCCATATTTGTGCCTTTTTTCTGGGCCATGTTCGCAGTGTCAGGGTCCTTTTGTGAGCGGGAGGTGTGTGTTTGAATCCCGGCGTTTGCAGGGGCACCTGGATGGTGTTCGCACCCACAGGAACTTCATTTAGGCTTTGTCTCGGCTCTGTTAGCCACCTAGCTTTGGCTCTGTAGTTGCTACTGTTATGACACGGCGAACGCGAATTTAAAATAAAACACAGCCCGGGTTAATACACGAACAATTTGCTGTTGATACCGAGAAATGGACACATTTTCAGCGGCGGACATTGTTTGAAATCCGTGTCGAGACACAGTACGAGGCTCGGTGCATGCTAGCAAGAAGAAGTGCTACAGTTTCAACGGTACAATTTAAACACGTTGACGTGTACTTTTATTCTTTATTCACATTCACAACAATGATTTTTATCGTCTAGCTAGTTTGTTTTATATTTGTCTAGATTTTACTATAAATATAAATCACAGTTAAGCTTTTAAATGTATCCATCCCGGCTACTTTTGTTAATGAAACACTGGTCTAAAGGTAGACCAGTCGTTCCTAGACACTTGGTCGGAAACCAAACAATGGTAGCTACAATTTGTTTTGTCTTTTAATGACAATTTTCTCTATTTTTGTGTTCTGTTGAATTAAATAGTATCCATAGTAAGGCTAGAACCCATTTTCAATGTTAATAAAAGGCAAAAATGTAAACAACAATAACTGAAAGAAAGTTCTACAAGTTATTTTAAATATGAAACATTATTAAGTGAACCATCATTTGATGAGAGGTACTAGGTAGGGGGTGTACAAGTAGTTTATGTTGCAAAATTGAATGACATTTTGACATGACATCTGTCTTTCTTTTAATGTATGACTTTACAGAAAAACTTTTGAATTACTGTCAGGAGTGGATTTTTTTTATCATTATCCAAACAGTACCAGTTCAACTGCGATATCCTTGGCAGCCCCAGCAGGTAAGGGAGTTAACCTGTGTGTTGTCTGCACACTGAGCGTTACATAGATTATGTTGATGTAATATTATCAGAAACCTATTGTCATTCTACCATTGTGTTCAGAAATTTGTTATATATTTGGGTCCTGAGGAAATAGTTATAGTATAGCCTTCTTTGAAAAAGGGAACTTCTCACTATGATCATCTCACTTGATTGACACCTACACTGATTTACAGATTTATGTGGAATCATTTTCACAAATAGTGCAGATTATAAATTCATTTACAGAGACATGACAATATTTCATGTCAATGCATTTGCGGGAATCATGTGTAAATCATACAAATTGCAAGTGCATCTGTCACCTGTGTTGTCAGATTACATGTTCTATTAGTCATTCATCTAAAGACTATCATTGGGGCAGCAGTTTTTTCACTGACTTTTCTCTTATAATGTGCTTAAAAGAGCAACATACATCAATTGTGTATGCCTGTAATGGATGCAGTTTTTATCTTCTAATCAAGATTTACTTGTCTGACTGCCTATTTTACCTCTACTTATCATAATAAAGGAAATACCTGCATCCCTGATGGGTTATTAACAGTCCATTTCTCGCCCCATCTTTCCCAAATTTAATTGTAAAGCACCATCTGAAATTGAAACCTACTAGTTAAGATGAAGCCTTTTCAGCTTAAATTAGCTTCTCCTGTGTTTTTGATCTAATATTCCCATCATTTTTTTATTTGCACAGCCATTTTAGGATCTTATAAAAGTGACAAATGCTAGTTAGTGATTGTTGACTTTCATACTTTCATAAACCTATGAAAGTTGAAGAAAGCTGCAGAGACTATTTTTAATTACAATTACAGTGTTAAATTAGTCAATGACCAGTTTAAACCTGGCTTTAATCATCATCAGTTTAAAAAGCCTGTCAAGTCATTCAACCACTATTTTTGGAACATGCCACCCATGGGTGTATTGTGCCATGCTGCCTTTTACAATGTGTGCTCTCCCCCGCATGTCAGATAGCTGACAGCCCTTTGAGTGTTGAAGCTGGCATTCAGACAGCAGCAGGGTACTGATGATTGCTGCAGCCAGTGGGTGTTGGGGCTTGGCCACGGACAAGCGCACTTGAACCCTTCCTGGCAAACAGCAGAGATGGCCGTGAACCACAGTATGTCAAACCTCCCTTAGTTTGCACATTCCCCTAGCTGACAGGAGTTTGGAGAGAGATTCCTGACCTCGCCTTCCTCCACTCCCAACTGTGCCTGGACACTTCCAGGGCAGGTGGTCTTAAGTCGCTAATCAACCTCCTCCTCACTCCCCAGTGGTTTGCCCCCAATATATCCTAGATGTCATTTATTTATTTTTATTCCATTTGAAATGGGCCACCAGACAACCAGTCTTTTATCTTCACAATCAAACCTGAAGACCAATCCATTTTCTCTGTATCTGCAGTTCTTTGTCTGTTTTGCAAGATATCCTGCACATTTGCATTTTCATTGTGTAGCTCCAAGCATAGAGATCATATAGCTCTTTACCATTCAGAGTTTTTTGGCCATGCCTTGACGTTGGTGCCTTTGAACTCTTGTGGATGCGTCCCCGTGGGACCAGCCTAAGGCAGCAGCTTCTGTTTCAATTCCTTTGAGAGACCCAGGCAAACGAGTGAAGGTGCTCTGAGATCATAGACCAGATTTAATTAAGATTGACTGGCATTAACACCACCGTATAGTTACATATTACAACAAATACATTTTAAAATTCATATGTATGTAATTGCACAAAATAAACACAATCAACCTCTCAGACCCAGGCAAAGACTATGCTTGCCTCTGCCTCCACACAGTTATGCAGGATTTTTCAGAGTTCATGCCTCACGTGTCAACAAGACATGACCTACTTATAAATCACTAACCAGCTCATCATCATTGTCCCAAATACTATAGACATTGTTGTGGCCACTGTAAATGTGGGTAGATGGCTATAAACAAAGGCAACATGCAGCCACTCCATCAATCCAGACCTGACGTCCTCCTGTGTCTGCTGATAGTTTGTTGTTAAGGTAATGATAGAAAAAAACAACTTTGGAAATAGGGCAGCATTTTCCTCTTGGTTTTAGGAGACAAACACACAGATGACACCTCTGCTTGTTTTGCTCCTTAGTGACATAAACATAAATCGCTTGTTCACAAATGAATTGTAGTCAAGATAGAATTAACCCCAAACACCTCTTTGAGGGCACATCATTATTTTTTAATTACAATACAAAATGTAGTCTTGTAAAAAAAAAAAACTTTTGTTTTGCCTCCTACGCATGTTGTAATGTTTCAATATTCTTAGCCATCACTTGAGTGTGAATCCCTGTGTGTGTCAGATTGTACCTGCAGTGACACAGCTGCTGTACTGACCCAGGCCAGGTTGTTGACAGCTCAGCTGGCAGCAGCACCACAGTTATAGCCTTCTTGGGTTTCTCACACATTTGCCTGGGATGCTGTAGTGGCTCATGAATGAATTTATGTTATTTCGACATCTCAGTTCTTCATTTCTGCAAACTCTACACTTGCCTCTCTCCATCTCTCATGACACTGTGTTTCGACAGCATCTAAAAACCAAAATAGGAGACACTGAATCCTTCAGCTTTCAGTTCCCTCTGTTTCTGTTTCCCAGTAGGATATGATTGGATATGATTGAACAAACAATTCATACATTGTGTGTGGTTGACAGACAAAGCCAACATTAAACCCAGTCAAAGTAGAAGGGCCTGAGTGATTACACCGATGAACTGTGGCAGTGTCTGTCCTTCATGACCCTCAGCAAATGTGAAGGCCTATCACATTGCATATAGTAATTCCTGGCAGCAGCCCACTGCTGCTCGGGGTGGACCAGTCAAGCTGCTGAAATTGAGAGGGTCATTTGCACTTGTCCCCAGAGGGTTGAATGGTTTAAAGCCAAATTGACCAGATGATTTTTGGCTGAAAGTTGGTGTAACCTGAACATGTCAGTAAAGTATGACTGAAGGCGAAACTAGAGGACCAGAGTATCCCATTTTAATAGAAGCATATAGCAAAATAAGGCCACTTCTCACTTAATTTGCTTAAGGTTGTTGTCTGTTGTTGTTGTTTTTAGAGTTCTTGGCTCAATGTCAGTGATGATGCTGTGTGTTTGAGCTCAGGGATGAGGATTTGATGAATCATTTCTGTTAAACAACATAATATTGACACACGTCCAAAAAGACAGAGTGGTGGATTAGGTCTCCGTCAACATTAAAGAAGAGCCTTTGATTATGTCTGGAACGTTAGCCACATGTCCCTGAGGCTGAGCATCTCTAGGGGGATTAGTGCTGAGGCCTCCCACCTCTACAACCAACAGCAGGCATAGGAAAAAAAGGATCAAACAGAGTCTTGGAAACATTACAAATAATACACAGAAGATCAACTGGATTTGACATTAAAATTGTTCATTAGGTTTAAGTTTTGTATTGACTTTATTGCTATTTCTTCAATGTAATTTCTCATGAATATAGATTTTATTACGTTATCTTTACCTGTCTTTCCAATTACTTTTCTTGTTTTTATCTAACTAAGAATTAATTTTATTTATCTGGAGGGTAAATTTGTAAAGAAAATGATTTTTTCTTTAAGGATATCTCATATTTATTACAGTTACAGTTAATTTTTTTTCAACAGCTATCGTCCTGTTGCAGCCGGGTAGGTTCTAAATCATGAAGCAGTAAATATTATAATGCTAATCAGCATCAATTGACCTGTGTGTGTGAAGTGTGAAATGTTTTGTGAGAGCCAGTAGGAATTGAGGAAATCAATGCAATGTCAAGCTTCTGCAAAGAGCCATTTACAAGGTGGTATCTGAGCAGCGTCTGGAGAGTTGTTGGAATTGTTGGATCATGACTAAAATGCAAGATGGTTCAGCTGGAGTAGAACAGATTAAAGATATCGGATGTAAAATATTAAAGTTGCCCTTTGGAAAATATTAATTACAGTTGTATTTGCAGTTTATGTTTCTTTTTAATTTAGAATAGATTAGTGTACATCTCGGTTTGCCTTCTTAGTTTCAATGATTGTGATATTTTTCATTCAGATGACTACTACATGGTGATATGAGTCAAGTAAAGTAAAAATGTATTTGTATAAAGATACTAAGACCTTTTGCACTAAAATCATTTTCTGGATTTACTTTTAAAATGAAATTAACCCTGATTATAACATAAGTATACATACATATTAACATTTACAAAGAAGAAAACAAAAATATAGTCACTACTGTAGAAATTATATTAACAAGACACAGTAGAGCTTTTTGGTTTTTACTAGACAAACATTCATGCAAATACATTGCATTCAAGATGTTATGTCCACAAATATACTATTTATATTTAATCAATTCCATATTCATTTCGTTCTAGGGTGTGTCTTCAAGTTGTCTGCTTTTTTATCCACTCGTATGCTGTGACCAGTTTGTTCCTTATGGCTGGCAGATTTCTTTGCTCCCGAGTTTCTCTTTCCTTTCGCTCATGTCTCATCCCTTCGCCTGCAGCCTCAGCTCTCTCATTTGTCTGAGGCGAGGAGCTTGGAGACATGATCAAACGTGTCACTGCTGTCGATTGAAGCCACCACTGCCGCCCCACTGCACTCTCCACCAACATCATCTCTGTATCGCTGCCTCCACCCGAACGTATTTACACCATCGCTACCAGCACTGGAACAGTGTAGTAAACCTGAGTACTGAACAGATGAGCAGATTCTCACCACCTTAATGTGTTAAAATACTGCATTTTTGGTAAGCTGAAGTGAACAGATCATAGGGCAAAATCAAATGGTAGGTCTCAAGAACTGATGACCAAGGGTTCTTGGATTTATGAGAACCTACAGCCAGGAGCATGTTGTCCATCTGATTAGAATGAAACCACCGTAACATCAGCCAACGGCCAATGGATCCCCATTCATCGTCCACCCCTCAGCTCAGCAGAGAGGGGTATGGTAAAGCCGGGTCTCAATTAAACAAAACCCACATCAAACAGCCTGTCGACATGGATTAGTGGTTCTTTTTACTGATAAGAGGCTGAAATAAATTGCTGGAACTATCACAGTGTCTGTGGCACAGTCTCTTTATAAGGGATGCTTAGGAAACAACAAAAACCTGACCTGCATACTGATATACCCTCTGTCTCCTTTTTTTATTTTTTTTAAAAAGTCTTTAAAAAGTCTAAACAAAAGCTTATTTCTGCTAGATTTTCAGCTAAAGATTTAGGCCTGAAATCACCTTGTGTGCTACAACAGAGATCTAATGCTGCAGCAGCACACCTTGATGTGTGTGTGTGTGTGTTATCACAACAGAACCTATTCTTTTTTCTGTCATCTGCATTAGCTCTGGCAGCCTCTCTTATCTCCCCACACCCTCCTTTTCCCCCTTTTTTACGCCTTCTGCCTATTTTTTGCATCTCTGCAGAGTGACAGGGAAAATAGGTCATTAGTTAGACGGAGGATAAGAGATGGAGGAGCCAACTGTGGCGAGATCTGTGAGGAAAAACGTCATACAATATTCATTAGAGCCATTCACGCTGTGATGTGCCAAAACTGCAGTGTGACGGCACAGAGATGAGGCAGTAGACGTCGACATAGCGGTTTGAATTATGTGACTGCTGGATTAGTTTGTCTTGTGTCTTATGGTGTTGTTTGTTGGACAGCTTTTTGAATCTAATATTTTAACATGCCAACTCAAATTTTCTGAATGCAAAAAGATTAGAGCAAGGCGTTCAATAATTGAATTGCAGACAGTCATCAGTCCTAGGGGATTTGTTAGTTCAGTGCTGCTGACTGTTTGAACTTTAACCTTGCTTCAGCTGAAGAACATCAAAGATAAAGCGAGAGCTTCTTTTGGAGCTGAATTCACAGTGGAATAAACTGCTCGGCTCCTGCCTCCACCACCATTTTCACCAAGCTACAGGAGAGAAAAAAATCAGCCTCAGTGTAGAAATAAATTAACTCATACCTCCTTTGTTTTGTTTTGTTTTTTTTTTAAATATCGTTTGTCATAGCCAAGGTGAGATTTTATTTTGTGGGTCAAGTTATGGGTTTGTTTGTGTGTGCAGAGCCACAGGAGCAGGGGGGATGAACCGCGAGGAGGCCCCGGGAAAGTCTCCTGAAGACATGTATATCCAGCAGAAAGTGCGGGTCCTCCTCATGCTTAAGAAAATGGGATCAAATGTAAGTATGGTGTTGTAATTCATGGAGTAATCATGGAAATAATTATTCTCTAGCTGTAGTGTGTTTGCGTTTACAGTGGAAATTTAATTTGCATTCACATTTTGATTCTGTTTATTGTATTAATCCAAGTAGATGTAGACAAAAAGACAACATATTTACTCCCTTCCAGTAGTCAATGGTCACCATACTAACATACTCCACCACTGGAACAGAAACACTGTGACTCTTGTGCTATAACCAACAACCAGGTTATATGTATTTTTCTTGTTTGATGTCTTTTAGCTCACGCCGAGTGAAGAGGCTTTTCTCCGAAATTATGCAGGTGTGGTCCACAGTCAGATGAGCCAGCTACCACAGCACAACATAGATCAGGGTAAGGCTGAGACACACACATACACACACAGACTTTCACAGCTCATTGCCACACAAATAGCTTTTGGTTAAACTTGTGATCAGCATATCACTAGCACTGCTGTTCAGTTCTTCAGACAACAAATAATGATTACTTGAAAAGAGCATCTCACTTTTGGAGTGAGTGCATCACTTCACACATACCACTTAGAAGTAACTCTAGTCCCAAATTTAAATATTGTATCATTAATTTGATAATGGAAATACGAATTCTGCAGTTCTTCGACCTGATCCGCCCATCCTTATGATGCTTGTGTAATTAATAGACCACAAGAGGGCACTGTTGAGTTGTCTCCCCCACCCCCCATTAAGTTATCTATAAATGTAGTCCACGAGAGGGTGCTAGAATAAACAAAGTATTACACGGGCAGATTCTACAGTGTCCTTAGAAAGCAAAATGCATTTTGTGGTAGACTTTTACTTGAAAACACCTGCTGTGACACAGAACCCCTGCTGTAAACCTAATGGAGTCAAGCTCCTGCTCGGCTCAGTGTGGTTTTTGTCTTCGCAGGGGGGCTTTAAGTCAGTATTATTATCTGCAGCACCATCATTTTCATATCTCCTTGTCAGTGTCCTCTACCTGTATGGAATGGCTAAACTTGATCCACTGTGTAGCATGAGGTGTGTCATCAGAACATAACAGTAGCATCAGTGACATGTAGATGCCTTAACTATAGTGATTGTGCATTATTATATAACACTTTTTAAATAGGCAGGTTATAACCTTTATATATACTGTGTATATATATATATATATATATATATATATATATATATACACACACACATATATATATATATATACCTATATATATATATATATGTGTATATATTGTCCTTGCTTAGCTGCAGACATGTCTTTTCAGCTTCTCCATGTACTTTAGTGGCTACAGAACTCCATGTCTTTGCTGTGTCAATAGCACTAGGAAGGTCTCATTAATAATGGATGAAGAAGCTGGTGAAAGGTGCCCTGACTATGCATAATACATCACAAAAACTGACACATTTAGCATCATCTGGCAGCCTACCACCCTCCTGGTGTGCAGATAAATAATTTGTGGTCTGTATCTCTCCTTATGATTAGGCGTTTTGATGATGGCTTAGAGTTAAACATGTTTCAATTTTCAATGTTGGCTGAAGGAGAGGAGCTGATAAACATCAGTTGTCAAAAAAGACTTGACAAAATATAATCAAAATAAAAGTCCACAATTTGATCTCTTAAATTAACCGAATGGGCTGGGTCACTTACACCAGTGTTAGTTTTGATGAACTGTTTACATTATTATGATCAGCATTTCAGCATCTTCCCTGTTTGAATATTATAAAACTGAAGCAGGGAACTCATCAGATTGTTTACAGTGTAGACACAGTTGGAATTGAGATGGTTTCTATTCAGAGAAAAGAAATTCCTCCTGGCTACCAAGCTAAAACTATTCAACCACAGTATCCACCCTCCACAATGTAACTGTGCGTTCAGATGTTGGAATGTGCTGATATGAGCGTCCACATAAAGTTTCAGCACAGAGGGACTGACTGAGGCTTGTTCAAAAACTGTTGTGATTGAACAGTTTGTCGCTTCCTCTGTGGAATTAACTGTACAATGAAAAGACACATGGGTATTAATGGCACAGTCAGAGCCAAACAGGACAAAAGAGCTGGTGTCAGATGCTGAACATGACGACACTTGTCAGCCGGACATGTTTTAACATGAAAATAAATTTGGGTTTACATGTATAATTTCCGGAAAGGTTGTCACGGTTCTTCGGATCTAATGGTACGAAGACTAACGGGACGTGATGCTGAGACTCTGCTCAGCTGTTGGATGTTATTCTGTTGTTCACTTTTAGAGAAGAAGAGAAAAGCAGCCTGTAGTTTCCACCCTAAGCAGGTCTTTAGGCCACTTTATTTGCATTTCAGATCGCCTTTAATTGGCTGATTACCATAAACACATATAGTGCTGTGCTTTTGCAGGTTTAATCAGGCCAAAGACGAATCCTCAGCTTTGGGGCGGGACATGCTGTGTTTTTCTCTTTAGCTTTTTTTTTTCCACGAAAGCCTCGATGTATCTCTATCTTAGTGCAGAATTTAATAGGACTTGACAAATTCACCATCAGTCCTCTCACCTAACGAGTAAAGAATCGTGAGCTAATTTGTGTTGTTTTTCCGTTGGTTTGTTAAAATATGAGCTGCTATTTCTTACAAATACTGAAAATTACTCTGACGCTTAAAATAAATGGCTTCCCCTATACTGTGACTTTTACCCAGTGGGATATCATTTGTTTTGTCCTAACACCCAGGTTGTTGTTTTTTTCTCATGTCGTCACAGCTCATGTCAAACAATACACGTTCCTCAGAGCAAAACATAAAGGCAGCCGTCTGTGAGCTTGTTATTCTGTCCGATTTGATAGAGAAAGTTTACTCCTATGAAAAAGAAAATGTCTGTGGGCCTTGACAGAAGAGGAGAGATAAGGAGGCGTTGCCATAGCAACCCCATTTGTCCCAGGAAAGTAGAGCTTCCCTGTGGGCTCTGGTGTTGTTGCAGCGTGCTGCGTCAGTAGATTAGAGCAGGTGTCATTAGGGGGCTCAGAGGCAAGCTGGAGTGTTAATTACACCGCCTGGGTGTGATATTCCAAAGACTTCTCACAGAAACAAGGCCTCTCTCATTTCAAATGTTCGCCGCTGTGCAATCAATATACAATCTTGTTTCTCTTTAGCTGCAGTACAGTCCCAGCATGACACCAAACTTAAAAATCCGTCCTTTAAAGAGAGGACGCAGCGACACAAAGCAAGAACATGCCTTTGTTCTGTGACTTGGAGGAGGCAAAGTGGTATTGATTCCTACATTACTCTGCTCCTCACTACAGCGTGATTTAGAGCCAGACGCTCCCTTACTACCTGCCTCAACTCACTACTACAGAGGTGAAATTGTTTTTTTACCTGCCTCAACTCACTACTACAGAGGTGGAAAAAGAGTTCCTCTTTCTCCTCTGAAATCTGTCAATTAGTAATTTAATGGATATACATTTCTTTTATTGCCTTTAAATTAGTTTTTACTGTTCTGTTTCAGATTGGATGTGTTAAATTGGCCTCCATTTTCTTATAAACCACATCTTCTCCATATGCAACTTGTGGTTTGTTTTTTTTTTACCTAAAAGTAACACTGTGCATTGTTGATACATTTTTAGTTGTGTAATTTATTAAGCTTAAGCTGCCCCTCTTCACTTTGGTGATGGGTTAAAAACAGAGGTCACATTTGGTTGTGTGGTTGCAGTGGTGGGCCGTGTCACTATGACAAATAATTCACTATTAACTATGGCTCTGCTGCCATAATATGTTTCCATACGTAATGCAAATACTGTAGTACCATGTAACAGATATATTTCTACAAGGTCAGAATCTTTTAGTGACCACTAGTGGCCACAGTGTTTGCCTTTATCAGGCTGGGTGAAGAGATGATCAATGCACACTGGAGGGTGGAGTCAGACTCTACACTCTGCTGAAACAAATCAAAATCTGCCTGCTCACAGGCATAGACAGGAGCAGACTGCCATCCCGTGATGCACTCTGATTCCTATCTGTCGCTAGGCAACAGCTTTGAAGGACCTGACGTTGGTTGGAGCTCGTCTTTGTACGTCTCTGTTTGTACCCGGGCGAGGTCCGGACGTGACGCCTTCGTGACACAGTTACGGAGCTCGGTCTTCCATTAAGCTGTGGGTGGATTATGAACAGAGAGTTCACCTCAAGTTCAGAGGACATGTCCACGTGCTCATAGGACACGTCTGCTCTCCGGCATAATCACATCACCTTTCACCGTGGTGTGAATTGTAACAAATGGCAAATTGCAGAGTCTAGTACAATAACAGAAACTCTCTTGGAGCAGAGTAGAATCAGGTTGACTTTGCTGTTGGGACGGTGTTAGATAATTCTTCAAGCATCATTATCCCTTCACACTGTCTCCAGGCAGATAAAGTCTGTATTAATTAGAGTTTTTTCACAGTATGTTTCCGAGGAATGCCAAATTCCCTCCATCGTTCTGTCTCCCTGGTGTGTGGAGGGTCAACCCTGTTTACCAAATGCACACAGAAGCTCACAGGCCTCTGGCCTACTTTTATACCTCTGCAATAATTGCATCTAACAAGCACTCGAAGACAGCGGTAACATAAGTCTTTTTATAGTGCACAGTAACAAGACATCAACAGGATTTTTTTAACCATCTGTTCAGGTGTTGAGGATGTTTCTCTCTCTCTAAAAATCTCTTCAAGCTTCTAGTTTATTGTATATGAAGAAGACGTTGATGTTTGGTCAGGAATGTTTCTTTAATTTTCCTCTAAACATTTATCTGCAGCCTGTAGGAAAATAGTGTCCTTTTCTATTCTTCATTTCATTTTATTTTTTGTCACAGCTTGGTTGCCAAGTAACAGATGCATCTCAACAGTCTGGCAAACACAATGATACAGGGATTATGTTCCTGTCTGTAAAGGTCCTTCTCACTCACAAGTGGACAAACTGACTCACTCCAGTTTCTTTAGGACATTTCACCTCTCCTCCAATCAGCTCATTGAAGTTGTAAAAAGCTGTTAAATAATTGTTTGTTAAATACCTGGTTATTGACACAGGACAAATGGATGTACAGAAAAAACAGATGGTTTGAGGGAGAATTGACAACATTCTCAGCACATCCTCTGAGGTTTCAGACAGAACCATTAGTCAGAGCTCTCTTGGTGAAAAATGTACCGTTCATGGATGGAAGAACAAGGTTGTGCTCCAAGGTGGAGTAAATCAGATAAACTTGAGTTAGTGTTGAATACTCATCTTCAGCCTGAACTGTTTTTCAGTCAGAATTCTCTGTGTATTCTCCCTGGGAGTTAACTATCAAAAGCCCATTGCAGGAAAGTTGGATCATCCAGAAACCAGTTTGTCCATGTATAACTGTCTAAGGAGGGATTGTACTGCAGTTAGCTGAGGGGAGTTAGCAGTGACGGCTTCGTAAAAGATATGGAAAGTATTCGCACAAAGTTAACTGCCCGTCATTTTCTCCTACGGTATTTGAACTCATCTGTTATTTTTCACACCTTGTTTGGATGAATTCAGTCAGCTGGAGTTCCAGCTTTGTTCACTCACTGTCGGAGCTGCAGCCACTGAGAAGATGAAATGGATTTAAAGCCTTTAGATCTAAGTGTTATCGTGGAGGAGCAGGCTGTATCTGTCAGCAGGCCACTCACTGAGCTGCAGTACAGTATAAAGTATTCTATACCTCAGGACGCTGTGATCACAGGCGTGGGATTTTCACAGCAGGGGAAGAAGCAACGTGATGAAATTACCTGCATTGACTGAGAGGATTTTAATGGCTGTATCCGTCTCCTGGGAATTTATGGTCACAGACGACAGGATTACAGACCACTATATATATTGTTGAACTTTTAGGTTAAATACAACAGTTACAGAGTCAAACAGAGTTTATCCCAAAAGTTGCCTGGTTTATTTACATCAACAGTGAATGTACAGATGCTCAGCGCACACAGGAACTGACGACCCTAACTAACCCCTTGCTGTAGACATGCAAGTTGATTGTTGTAATTAACTCAGACCAGATGCACAGACCACACCATCCTCTCAGTTGGACAATGGATGTTTCCATCAGTAGTCAGGAGACGGGGACAGCCAATAATAGTAATCTGTGGTGAGTCACAACGTCAGGTCACTGGTTTAATACCAAAGTTGAGTGTGGACCGTGCCTATGTGTACTTGGGTTTTGGGAGGCAGCCAGAGGCCTACTGGTTTAATTGTAGGATTCCGGTTCAAATCCAGGCCCTGGCAGGACCGTGATGTGTTGAGCAAGTACCAAAGAACTGTGATTCCAGTCTTAATCACTGGTTTGTTTTGGGGGTTTTTCATTTCACTGTTATCTATCTGCCTCACACACTTGATTCTTTGAATAATTCTACTGTCATTACTAAACTGTAATCTATATAATGTCAGCTCTAGTTTGTTTAAATGGACACGGTCATTTGTAAGGTGTTTTCCACTAACCTGACTGTCTGTGCTGGTGCTCAGGTGCTGAGGACGTGGTGATGGCGTTCTCACGGTCAGAGACGGAGGATCGGCGACAGTGACCCTAGTCTCCGTCGGCCTACCTTTGCATCCCATCTCATCTCCCTCCTCCCAACCTGTCCTGCCCAGCACATGATCCACGACAACCCAACCTCCGCCACCACGACACCGATGAGCTCAGGAGGGGAGGAGGACAGGGAGGGGACAGAAGAGGAGAGGGAAGAGACACCAGGAGGCGGCTGCCTCACTCTCCCTCAGCCTTTTCCAACTCCGACTCCTTCTGACACAAGCAGGCACACGGTTACCTGAGATGCACTCCAGTGGGTCACTGTGAGGGTCCGAGTGTTGGCAGGCGGTAAAAACACTCACTGATTGTGCGCGATTGAAAATTCAGTGTAGTTTTTCCTTTTTTCTTTTGTATGATCTTGGTCTGTGTGTCAGACGTTCTTTAGTCAGTGTTAACACATTTTGTCTGCTGTGGTCACCAGAGGAATTGAGCAGGCAGCAGCGGAGCGAAGCGACAGGAAGATCATTTGTGGCCGAGCAGCGTGTGAAAGTGGTGTGAAGGCTGGTTATGTGCAGGAGGAGATTCTGAATTATTTGTGTGTAGCCTGATGGAGCTGCAGGAGTTTTCTGAGTTAGTTGTCATGTGTCGTTAATGCTTTGGTGTTGTCTCACACCGGGGGCCTCATTTATGAACATCTGTGTCCATGAAGGGAGACACGAGACATGATGCCTTCACAGGTCACACAGTTGTTCAGTGGTAGAGGATCAGGTTTAGATGTCATCGAAAAATGGACCACTTTACTTTATGAGCTAGAGAAGGACATAAAGAACACAAATGTCTTCACAAAGAAGAGCAGACTGTTGCAAAAATCATAGACTGTATTTAAGAAATGGGTGAAGTCACAGAGTTTAGTGTTTTTGACCACGATGAGATGACTTCCAACAATGTAAAGTCACGCTCATCCTTAATCTAATTTTAGTGCTCCCGTCTACTGCACATGTACAGACGTGTCAAGTCAGGTCACTTTTTATTTCAGGAAGAACAAATCGTTCTCAAGAACAGTTTTCTAACCTTGTTAAGACAGATTTAAGGACGGCAGGAACAACGACGAAAAAGAAACACTGCACTTAATCTTTATAGCAGTTTTCATCTTTTAGTTCCTGCTACAACATGTTTCACCGCCCACATCTATCAGGGACCTGACATTTTCCTTTCTAACACATTAGTGTGAAACTCTGAAGAAGTAGAACAGAAGAGTTCCACTGGTTCTAGAAACCTCCCTGTGTTATTGGAAAATAAGACTTTTAGTCAATTAATTTTAGAGATAAATTTACTATGGAAGATGATGGAGTCTTAATCATTCTCTGGGCTTTCAATGTCATTTCTATAATGTTGTGTGTACTTGTGTTGATGTCCAGTAGGAGACACACAAATTTCACTATTGGTTAATATCTGAAACTATTGAGCAAAATGTATATGTAGTTCTGTTAGTTTTTCCAGTGTGGTTTTAAACTAAAAATAAGACTTTGGGCTCATTTCAGAAAGTCTTGGTCCAACATTGTAAAACAAATTCATTTTCTTACATACAGTCTATGGTATTAGGCTAAAAGTCTAGTTCTACGTGTTAAACTCACCCAGAGTGACATGGTTTGACCTCAGTCTGTGTAATGAACCCCAGCTGTTCTCAGTATTATTGTCCTGGTTTATTAAAACATGTTCTTATTGGCACTGGCTCATCATAGAGGCAACATAAAGTGAAGTGATGCCTTTTCTGTCCTGACATAATTTCATTCACAATTCAACTCACGTCACAGTTGTTCACTTCACCTCTTAAATTCAGACCTTTTGTCAAAAACCAACCACGGCCGTGGACATTTCTCACTCCCTGCACAAATACTGCAGCGACAATCTGATGTGTGTGTTCCCACCCAGCAGGCCTGTCATTGGCTGTCCCTCTTTCATTTTAATGACGTCACAGCTGTGCAGGTTGTTGAGACTTTTGACACCACCAGTGGGGTTTCTAGGTGGAGGTGAGGATGTGTTTCAGGTTCATAAATGAGGCCCCGACTCCTGCTGCTGCTGCTGCTGCTGCTGCCGCCCGTGCTGCTGCTTTACTTTGAGAACAGAGGCTGTTGAAGATGAAGAGAGTCTTTTCTGATGACACTAGTGACATCATAACACAACACACATTCTCCCCAAACAAATACTGCCTTTGTTTTGGGTCATTGTGATGTGTATTAAAAAAAAAACTTTTGAATTGTACAGATGTCAGGAAAATACGATGATTTTCATTGTGCCAGTTGCGTCGTTTGTTGCGTTGATAAGAGACCAGTTGTAGTTGTAATTTATTGTTGAGTAAATTGACATCCCCACCCGCCCCCACCCAGTAAAGATGGAGGAGAACCAGCCATGGTTAAAGTCTAACACCAGTCACTCTTTATTCACACTACAATCACAAACTCACACCTTTAACTACCGTTAGCTGAACACCTGGAACCAAACATTGGAATTGTGGGAAAATTCTTACGCACTAACATCAAAAGGAAAAATACATTTTGATATTTCATACGGAACGGAAACCTTCTGTCAACCAGTTTGTATTCCTTCGATGACTCAAATAGAACTGTGTGTTTAGTTCAACTGGAAAATATAAAATGAAAACTTGTAAACAGCCCATGTTTCTGGTGACATGACTATTATTTAATGTGTTCTAGTCCAGTTCGCTAATATGTATAACTTAAAGTAACTGTAATGCCAGGAACGTTGTTTTATTTTTTTGTTGTTTTTTCTTTTTTTAATAAACTATTCAGCCCTGGCTCAGTGACCAGTGTTTGTACATTCTTAACATTTGTGGAAGCTTCTGACAAAAACAAAATATAAAATTCCTTGAGTTTTACCTGCAGAAGCATTTTTGCATTTCCCTGAAAAAAAGGATCACAATGTTTTTGTTGTTGTTACCTTCTTCCAGCTCCAAAAATGTTTTTTTTTTCTTTATAAAACAAATTGCTAATTCCTTTCTGAATTTAATAATATTTTTGCTCTTCTGTTTCTTTGTCATTAACAAGACATTTTCCACGAAGGTCCCCACATCAAATGAATACAATTATTGTAGAAATTCCAAAATATTGAAATGATCAAATCTTACAGGATTTTAAAGTATGTTGTTAATTAAAGAAAACATAATTGAAATGAAGAAATACTATTATTTAGTTAAAAACATCTTAGTGATTCATAGAAACGTGTTTGTTTTTGTTTTTTTCAGGTGAAAGTAACAGAATTCTGCGTTTATCCGTTTTATCAAGTCTGCAATAACTTCCGTGTCCTAAAAAAAATTCATTGCAATGAAACAACTGCAGAGTCACACTGTCCACAGATGACACACAGATTTGTCTTTGTTTATTTTTAAGCACCGTTTTTTTGTTTGTTTGTTTTTTGTCTATGCATCGTCTTTTTGTTTCCTCTGCAGAAATGTGTCTTACTGTACATTTGAACAGTCTGGGCTGCTCTGCTGCAGCCTTTGTTGTGTGTGTGTGTGTTTGAGTGTGCGTATGTGTGTCATATGGTCCACATGTTGTTTTTACTGTGATGAGCTGATGTTGCCTGATTCATTTTTTAGTATTTTTATTTTCTTATTAGTGGACATCTGATGAGTTGCTTTTGTTTTGTTTTCTGTTTTTGTTTTTTTGCTGCTGGCCATGTCTTGACCTAATGCTTCCAAATCCTATACAAACTGAACCATTAAAGAACTTTAAATGGTGAAATGTGTTTTTTCTCTTTTATTCATATCTTTGAACCTTTGAAAAATTAACCTCATGGACAAGACATTTATCCACTTTCTAAAACCTGACCACACAAAAGGTTTTCTAAAGGAGTAGGTCAACAGGGTCAGGTATAAAAGGAGCATCAACCAAAGACTCTGGAAACATTAGTAGCATTTGAAAAGGGTAAGAAATGGAAACATATGCAGAACATCAACTGGTAGAAGGTTGTGCAAGTGATGGGAAATTGTTCTTTGAGTGAAAATAGACCCACTAGGTGGCAGTAATGTACATCAAAAGCTGTTTTTTAGACACTGAAGAAGAAATGGCAGTTAATCAGATTAGCTCACCTTAGCTGATCCTGGTGGAAGACTCTGTAAGTAACACAAACTTTTGTGTGTCACATTTTAAAGATATTTGAGTTAGAATTTAACTTAGAAATGGAGGTTTGAGAATAAAGAGGTGAACAGTTTGGCAAAACCATGGAACTCTGTGCTACAGTTAGCTAAGAGTTCTGTCCCGTGCCACATTTTTCTGTCAGACTCTGGGCCGTCATTTCTCACCTCAGAATTCCTAAAGTCTTGTAAAAGTTTGTGTGCAGCCTAATCGGAAGGGTGAAAGGGGACACTTATTTTACAACGAACCTTTGAGGTTAATACGACTCTCCTATCCCCACGCTGAAATACATGCACAGCACTCTTTGGTGAGAGAGAGAGAGGGTGGAGGGGAGTGAGGGGGTACCAACTCCAACCTGATCAGTCTGGGCTTTCATCTTCAAAGTCAAAGAGATGAAGCTGTGAGCAGGGGAGCTGAATAAAAAGGCACGAACTGAGTCTGAGGAACACTGTGTGATGTGTGGAGACAGTACACAGTACACAGTACACAGTCACTCAGCTCTGTTGTTTTCTCTTAACCTCATCACTAATGGATGAGATTTTCGTACACAGGCTGCATCCAAAGCTTCTCACGAAATGGAATGCAGCTCCTTTGATGCAGTGTCTTGTTGTTTAATCCTGGTCTCATCTTGGATGAAAATTAAACAGCCGAAATTCATTTTATTTTATGTTCCAAAAAATGATCATTGTCTGTAATAATGCTCCCCCGCATTCCTGTTGTAACTGTTGTCTCTGAATCTGACTGTGAGCCATTTGTTGGTTTAGCTGCCACACAGTCGTGGGTCGCTCCTGTAGACCACCTGTGTTACAGTCTGTGATTAAAAACACACACATCCCATATCCTTCCTCATGACCCCAGCTCAGTGAAGCTGTTTTTTCACTTGATAAAACCTCATTTCCAAAATATTCTCTCAGGATTAACGTAGCTGTCCACCTCCAGGATTCCCACTCTGCTTCCGTGCGTCTGGTTTTCAAGTGTGACACAGTGCGTAGGCTAGTGGTATGGAGATGTCGTCTCTAGTCAGTTTAATTTGTGCACCTGAAAGAAGAATTCAGGGACTCTCAGGTTCATATACTACATCAGGGTCAAATTCTCATGATGGAGGCATTATGCCCCTCTGCGCCCCCAGTGGCCATACCACACACAACTCCACACAAGTCTTTTTTACTAAAACTTTTTTTTTAAGTTTGTAAAAAATATGTATATACTATAACAAAGGTTTAAATAGTTATTACAGTATGTCAATGTCAATATATTAGCATATATAAAGGTTTAAATAGTTATTACAGTATGTCAGTGTCATTATATTAGCGTATATAATGCTAGCCTGAGAATAGCAACAAATTACCCAACAAAATAGCCAAAAATATAGTGGTAAAATGGCTAAAGGTTAGCCAGAAAAAGCTTTAAACAGATAAAAGGCCCAGAAATTACAAAAAAGAAACAATGTCCACAAGGTTTCACAGAAATAGCTAAAAGTTAGTCAAAATATATGGAGGAAATATAAAATGTTATCTCACAAATTGCTAGTTTACCTAAAATGGCCTCAGAACTGTAGTCCTTGAGATGATAGTTATCGCAGAAATAGCTAAAAGTTAGCAAAAATGTGACCTGTAAATTTTTTGTTAGAAATTGGACTAAGATCAGGTAATAATAGACAAAAATACAAATAATGATCACTTTGCCTTGAAATTGAATTTAAAATCCTTTATTGCAGTGACAGGAAGGTGTCTTTATATGAAGCTTTTTTTAAAATCTATAATTCAGTCATAGTAATCATTTAAATCCATGTCTGTGAATGTGAATACAAAAGACCAGAATGTTCCAATCATAATTATTGTTGTCCATGAATCATGCTCACTCTGTTTCCCTTCGCTCCTAAAATATCAGAGCTGTCCTGTTGCTGGCTGATGTAACAGGCGGTGGCTGTGCCACAGGCCTGGAATCTGCATCACGATGACTGAAATAAGCAGGAGCCGCTGCTGTTGCTGCAGGAACAGCATATACTTAGACTGTGTTTACATTAGCTCCTACTAGCATTAGAACTCAGGGCTGCAGCCTGGTGCCCCATAAACCTTTTTCTTGCCCCTGGGAAATTTGTTCTGGGGGCAATTTGAAACATTTCCAGGCCAAATGAATCTACGAATGACGATGACAAGCTTGCATGGTGATCTCATTCTTTTCTGATGTAACTGGGAGCCAACACAGGTTTATTGAGGGGTTTCTTGTCACCTGATTTATTACATTTTCAAACAGTTTCCTGGAGTTCTTTGTGTCTGCCACTAGTTTTAGTTCATGTCCATCCCCTTGAGGTATTTTTTGCCAAACTTTGTAGCAAGTATTCATTTGTATACTAGTATATACATGGATTCTTTTCCTCACTAGTATTTAGATCAACGGTGTCCACACTATCCTAATGACCGGGCTACTGGGGGATGAGGGGTGGGGGGGGTTATGTGACTCGGTTCTGTAAATGAGCTTCACTCTATCAGACAATTAGAAAAGATAACAGACCTGACCCCTCACAAATAAATACCTGGAGCTGCTGCAGCATCTCTCGGAATGCAGGGAATGTGTAGAATGACTCAGCCCTCTCAGTAGGAGTTGGCAGAGTGACCATGGCACCACCACCACACCAGGGTGTTGCAGCCTATAGCAGAGTGATGCTGGCTCTGACATAGTGATCGTTGGCTCTGTGCAGATCAGACACTGCTGACGACTGAGGAAATGTCAGTGAATTGTTCCTGTTCAGAGCTGGAACCAGTCAGAGTTGGACTGGAGCGATGGGCAACCAACAGCCAAAACGTACCATCACTGTTGTACACACAGTTCAGTTTCAAATATTAGCTCTGGCCGCAGAAATAACATAACCATAAGTCAAACTATAGCTTAGCTATAGACTGAGGCAAAGACGAAAGGCAGCTGAAATACATCTCATTCGTATCACAAAAATAAATAAAAATTAGACAGTAATAAAACTCCGACTCCCGGGAACTAAAGGTTGGCTAAAATGACAAAAGTTTTACCAATTGATATCTAAAATTTGCCCAAGGTATAGCTAAAAGTTAGCCAAAGGATTATACTAAAAGTAGCCTAAATAACTCAACCCACCCACAATCAAAACTACAGAAATAGCTGAAAATTAGAATATGACTAAATGAAAAAAAATAAAAAAGTAAAATTAGAAAAAGCTCAACGTTTAATTGTGATGGGTGGAAAATGAACTTTGACCAAATCTGAAGAAGGCACTCTCGTTTGAGGAAATCCAATTAAAATGTAATGTAGTTGAGATAGAAACATGCACTTGAGAATTTCTACTTGGGAACCTATTCTACTTCCACTTGCTTTTTAATGAATTTGAACAGGAAACAAAGTGACCGAGCAGCAGCAGCAGGACAACCTGTTCTACTCACTGGGTCTCATTCAGAGCAGAAGGTCATTGTTTGCAAGACAGCAGTTTTCTTTTTGCTTTTTTTTTGCCTATGCCTGACTGCTGACTGTACCCCCCTCTACAGGCCACAGTCTCATTATGGCGCCCTCTATGACCTCTGCGTACTGTCTGCATTTGCAGAGGTATACAGCGTATCAATACTAATCCCCAAAAAGCTTTATTGGCCTGAAAGGAAGAGAGCCAACACTGGCAGACTGTTCCAGTACATCATTAGGCTGATGTTGGATATTATATAAGACTGTGCTGACGAACAGACGCAGCAGCAGCAGCAGCAGCAGCAGCAGCAACAGCAGCTGCAGCAGCTGTCTTAGGATGATGCACTTATTAGTGACAGGTGACTTTTTACTGGCTAATTAATAAGCTGTAGGTAAAATGGCCTTTTGCTAAGTTCTAGTTGAAAATGTTCCTAGTTTACTTTGGCACAGTTTTTAAACCATGGCGCATATTTTACATATAGATACGTAAATCCAACAAAATCAAACAAAAAAGTATATGTAAAGAAAGATAATGATGTAGTTTTAAACCCTGGCCTGTTTAGTTGAACACAAGCCTGATTTACTTGCAGGAATTAAAGAAAAACACACATTCTAGATGATAGATCACCAGGATATACATTGATACAAATTGATGGCTAGTACACAACAATACTGGTTAACAGGTACTTACCTGAGTAAAGGTTACATATAAAATACAAAAAGCTGTGATGACAAAAATCAAACTGAATTGAATTTATCCTAAATTGTCAGGATAACTGGAAATGACAATTATCTATATGTATTGTACAACCACAGAATTAGCAAATTGAGCTAAAACTTTAGGAAACATCAAGAAATTGTAAAATAGTTGGTTAAAAAAACTGTGCTTTTAACATGATTTCCTATCATCTGTTATCCTGCTCTACAACACAGACACACTTCAGTGTGGTTGTGACACCACACAGAAGGTGAGTCTGAGATCACGCTGCTCCTGCAGCTGCTGTTGCCATGGCAGCAGTATATGAAAGCGTCAAAGTGAATGATGAGTGGAGTGACGGTCCACCCTCAGAACAGGTCGTGACCTTCCGTGAAGCCTTGAGAATCATGTGTCGGAGAGGGCTGTGAAAATAGATTCTGCTCTGTTCGTGGACCACGCTGTGTTTTTACTACATCCACAGGCG